TGTAACACAGTGGTTCTCAACCTTCTGGCCCTTTAAATACAGTTCCTCATGTTGTGACCCAACCATACAATTATTTTCGTTGCTACTTCATAACTGTAATGTTGCTCCTGTTATGAATCGTCATGTAAATATCTGATATGCAGGATGGTCTTAGGCGACCCCTGTGAAAGGGTTGTTCGACCGCCAAAGGGGTCTCGACCCACGGGTTGAGAACCGCTGCTATAACACAACCTCTTCCACATTCTTCCTTCCCGTCCACTGTAACCCCATGCCGCCATCGCCACACTGTGTCGAATGCCCAGGGCACAGTGATCACAGGTGGACGCCAGTCATTTTTATTATTGTCAATTCTTCTGAGACAGTATGCCCCTCAGGGTCTGCGCCCAGAACGACCGTGTCCCTACCCTCTTAGGTCTCCCCGCGGCCTCCAGGTGGGCCCCACTTCCTCACCTCTATTAGGAGGGTGTCTCTTTATCGTAGAGAAGCAGGCAGTGCTCAGACACCCTAGCTCCGCTCCAGTCCCTGCTCACACCAGGCCTCTGGCCGCAGAGTCCCTTCTGAACTTGGACTCAGGCCATAGCCCTGGAGAGGTTTGTGTCCTCGGGTCACACAAGCACGTCATGCCGAAGGGCCTCTGGCTTCTCCCGCCTCTCGAGTAAAATGAGAAACAGCAGCGCTCCCCACACGGCTGAATAGGCAGCGGGTGGCCCTCGACCGTTACTGCCTTCACCTACCAACTCTGCCTTCAGATGTTCTTTTCTTGGCGTGTAAACTGTTTGAGATCTTTCTTTTTTCTGAACATAAGCGTGTATCACTATGAACTTCCCCCTAAAAACTCTTGTGCTGCATGCCTTACGTTGTGATATATTTCCATTTTCCTTTGTCTCAAGGTGTTTTTTATTAACCCTCACCCTAGGATGTGTTTTACTGATTTTAGAAAGAGGGAGGTGGGCGGGCCTCCAGGTGCCTCCTCAGCAGGCCCCATGGGACCAGGTGCTCCTGTAGCTCTGAGGACAGGGTGCTCAGGAACCCCTTTAGGATGATCACACACACACACCTCGGTCAGCAGGGCGCTTGGCAATCAGACAGGCAGGTGGGGAGCCAGGCCTTGCCCGCCTTCCCGGTGCTCGGACGGCTTCCCCGTGCTGTCACTGCTGATGCCGCCGTGCCCCTCGCCCGGCTCCACACAGGACACCCCCCCCACCCCCGTGTCCTGTGGCCCTTCCCCCCTCACCACTGACACCGGGTCCGAGCGCAGGAGCTTCCTTTCCCTCTGCTTTGTCACCGCCTGGTACCAACTGAAACCCAATCACTGTTTAAATGGGGCGGGGGGGGGGGGGGGGGGAAAATATTTCCCTCGAGGAGGAGGAATCATTGCATCGATTTGGTTCCAAATAATGAAAGAGCCACGAGCCAAGAGAAGCGACAGCCGGTGCAGTGAGCCCTGTCCAGGGGGGCAAAGGCTCCTGCCCGTCCTCCCGTGAACGTCGGGGGACCCTCGGCGCCAGTTAAATATGTGGATTAAATGTGCTTTCACGTTGTGTCTAGTTAACAAGGATATTCGTTCATTCAAAACAAAGGGGCTGAAAATAAAACATAAAAAAAAAAAAGGGACCGGTGGCTCCTCCCCCGCCACCCCTC